TGGTCATAATCTTGAAACTTGCAGCTCAGTCAAAAACAGTTAGGTGAAAGTCAGATGTATACTTTGATCTGTACTAGACTAGTTAATATGCAAGTCAGATGACAGGTTCATTACTCCCATATGAATAAGCTGGGTGACTGAGTAATGCAGCATGAATTTCAAACCATGTATTACAAATGCATTTGAATAATTTGCAAATGATTGTGTGCTAGTCAATTTAATTTCTAATTTTTTGGAAAAGTCCATATTACTATGTTATATCTTTTAGAGCCTCCCGTAAAGATGAGTAAGCTAAGACTTGAGAGTGCAGTATCAGAAAAGATACCATACTGTGGAACTCAACTTTTGTGCCCCTGATGAATTTGTCTTATTAACTTTGGACATCACAGATGATAGCAAGCTGAGAGAGTCTAGCATTTGTAACTCACTGGGAAAGGATGGGGAACTTGCATAGCCCACCCAGGAGTTTATTTTATATATTAAAATAGGAAAATATGCATATTTCTTTGAACGGAAGTTCCCATTCCTTTGGTCTTGGCAGTCTGGTGTTTGGAAGGGATGCAATGTTGCACATTCCAAGTGACCCCATGTTGCTTCCTTCCATCTTGCTGTTATTTTGCAAACATACTGCCTCTCTGCTGACCCTCACCCATGTCCTTGGTCTGCTAGCATGACTTTGTGTTGCCTGTGACTGAAAGAAGCATGTAGCAGAGGTAAAGCAGGTTAAAAGCGTGAAGGAGCTATGTTATGAGGAAAGGAATAGAGTGCTAATTTTAGAGGGGAGAGTCCTTAAGAGAAGGCATGTGGCTGAGGCTCAAAAACCACAAAGGCAGTGATGAATGCTGAACTGCTGTTGATCAAATCCCACAGTGCTACAGCCAAGGGCCACGTGAGAAAACTAACAGAGCAGTTCAGGATGAATTAGAGAAAGTACTGTTTTTATCTAGCAGTGAGCTTCATGAAATTCATATGATGTGAGTTTAAGCAGGCAGGTTGTATCAGCAGGCTGGAAAAAAAAATTGGGATAAATAATCACACCCAGTAGGTTCTTAAACTGACAGAAGTAAACAAGGATGGCACCCTTTAACAAGTCTCACTTAAAAACCAAACGCACACTGGGGAAGCTAGGAAAGTGGGGAGGGGGTAGACAAAGCAAGTGGGCAGGCTTGCAGGCTTTTATTATACATCACCTGCTCTTACCATTATTGGAGAGCAAATACTGGAAAGGATGGACCATAGGACTGATCTAGTATGGCATTTCTAATGTTCTCCAGCTTAAATCTTGAGATTATTCCAATAAACAGATAGATGTTAATGAATGCTTGTCCTTTATAGAAAACTTGACTTTTTGTCAAAACCATTCATTTTAATGCACTCAAGAGATTGATCAGTGTAAGTTGAATACCGGCTTAACTTCCTTAAGGAGGTAAACGACTTCATATTGTCTGGAAACAACTTCGTGTTTGAAATATATGACAGTAGAGTCATAGAAAGAAAGTGCCCTTCTTTTGGGTCTCTGAGTCTGTTTAGATTCTCTGATATTTTTTACCTTCTTTTCCCCAATTTATATAATTTAAAAACTCACACATCTGAATTGCCATCTTCTTTACTATTTGGGACTTACTCTTCTGAAATGAAAATTATAGGTTTCACAGATATGTCAAACAGGGAAAGGCGAGGTATTCTTTCTACTGTGGATTCAAGTAGACCAATTTCTACACATATATCGTTACATGGCCATAGTTGTCACATGGCCACTCAAAAATGATGCCTTCTTTTGCCTCTTGTGTCTAATTTCAGATATCTCAAGAATATTTCTGTGCACAGAATATTAGAAAGTGATTAACAACTCAATGTGCTTTCATCACAAGGCTATTATTTTCAACACTTTCCTTGCACAAAGCACAGGCAGCTGTGTGCTATTCTTCTGTGAAGCAGCAGTGCAGTGTCTGGTCATTATATCATCCTAATGTGCTAAATTATACCAATATCAAAAAGCAATAGCAATTTAAAAAAAAATTAAACTACTTAATTAAAAAAAAATAAACCTCTTGACAACTCCCCAAACTTCTCAAAAGAAGCAACAGATGTTGAACTGAAACTGCAAGCCTTTTATAATTTAGTCAAAGATTCACTTTCCAAATCCTATTTAAAATTTCATCTTTTTGATCACAAGAAGGAGAGGGAAGGGAAGCAGAACTCTTCATATCCTAGATCTTACTTTTCCTTTTCTTCCTAAACATTTCTAAGGCTGCAATTACAGGAAGCTGTAGTGCACCATGGTCTGGAGTGACCATAGATTCACCTAGGCAGTAATACTTTACCTGTTTTCTAAGATTATTCACAGTGTCTAAATTATAAGATGGAGATGGATTCTGCTTTGACATGTGTCATCTGGCTACCCCAGCAGGGAAATTCAAGTCTGAGTGGGAAAGAATGGCTTACAGTCAAGCTTCAAGTTTTCTTTCGTGTGCCCAGCAGTTCTGGTCTTGTTGTCCTGCCCTCTCTGCCATGCCTCAGCTTCTGTGCCATTCTGCCTAGAGCTCTTCTCCAAATGGTCTTACCCTCTTGAAAAATAACCCAATGAGATAATGTGATTGGGATACCTGAATACGCTCAGGTATAACTTTAAACTTGCACTTTTGTGAGCCAACTGCACATGCTTTGTGCCTCCGTGCATTTTCCCTTCCAGCATGGAACAGGAAGGTATGGAGGACTGCAGAAGGGCCTCATGCTTGTGCCTCTAAAAGTGTTGTAAAAGAGCATGGCTCTGAGCAATGAATGCACTTGTGTGGTGCCAAATCACAATGAAATGAGTAAGGGATAAAAAACCAAACAGTAGTACAAAGAAAGGTGTGTGTATGTGTGTGAAAGACAATTCATATTACTTTTCATGATGCTGATAAAAGTGATTTTTAAAATATAAATAAACTTTTTCCCAATGAGTGTGGATTAATCTTTAAAAATGTCTGAATGCTCCTTTTTAACTAGATTACTAAACTTTTGATGCAAAATATATATGTCAGGTGCAAAATATTTTACTACTCATGCAATACAAAAAAAGGAATTTTGTTCTTTTGAAGAAGGTTTCAGGATTTTTAATAATAAAGTTTTTCAAAAAAGTTGGCCATTCTAAAAAGGTACTAAAAATTACATGGAATAATTAGCCAAGGCAACTGAATTGTATGGTTTACATATCTAGAAGCTTTGCTATTTCACGTGGATTCAAGGAAATTGGAGTGAAAGAAAAGCCAGTAGCTGACTGCTCCCAAAAGTACTGAAGAGCTGTAGCATAAAGGAAGTAGAACAGATTCTGGTAACTTCTCTGAGGGTGAGTCAGCTCTGCAAGGTACTGTATGAGAAACCTTGTAAAAGAAAAAATATGGGTTTGTATCCACAGCACTAGTGAATACAGATATAGAAACGAAGAATATGTTTTGGATTATTTATTTTAAAATAATGCTTCAGCTCTTTACAATAGGGAATAAAATTGTACCATGATTTGAAAATAGAAACAAATTTGAAACTCCATGTTTTCATTATTAAGTATTGATTAATGCTAAAATAGCAAAGAGAAATTGATTTGTGAAAATTAGTTTCTTGAATCAATGTTTTCTATGACATATTAGTTTGTTTGTTTTTTTTTTTTAAATGACTTTAAAGGACTGCTTGGAACATCATTAACATGCAATAATTTTTCCCTGCTTGTCCCGTTGAGGAACAGGTTTATTGAAGAAAGTAAAGCAAATAAGATTAGATTCAGTAAGCAGAAACTAAGTGTAACCTAGACCACTTGCAGACTTCAAGGTGACAAAAGTCAAGACATCAGCTTGTCTGTGGTGTGGTATCAATTCACACTGAGTTGAGTGATACACATCAGTACTTCTATTCCTTCACTCACTAATGTGGTTTCTAATGGAGTCCCTCAGAAAGGACCAGTGCCATTGACACTGCTTCAGTTCTTATTTAAAGAAATTGATTTAACTCTAATCAAATGCAGGCTGCACACTGCTGGCAGAAAAAACTTTTTTATTTTCCAGTATTTTATACAACCAGCGTACCTGCTTTTAAGAGGTGTAAGAATATTAGAGCTCTATTTTATGGCTCCTTGGAATGCTGAATTCGCTCTGAGTACATATTTACAGATAGCATCTTCAGTACTAACATTTAGCCATAGTCTTCCTGTAATTTAATATGTTTGCAAGCTTAGACTTTCTGGACTGATACATTCAAGCAGAGCACTAGTTCAGTGTAGATCTTTTCTTTTGATGTGCTTTAAAAACTAAGATTTTGGGTTAGCTAGGATTATCCTCTTAGAGAATCTTCCAAAAAGAAGATTTTTTTGCTTTTGGAAAGAGTTCTGTTATTTTCCTTCCCTAGGAGGATCAACTTGTTGGCTTCGTCTTTAATCCCCTTGAGGATCTGTCTGGATTATCTTTTTAAGTGTCAAAACTGACCCAGTAGCCTAGAAAGACTTAGTCCTCTTAATAGCTTTTGCAACTCAGTGCCTTTCATTAGCAAGGGAGCTTTGGGGCTAGAAAGAAAGTTTGAGATTGTCATAGGATGAAAAACAGTTTCTTGCCTTACAACAGAAGTGAAATACATTATTTGAAATGAAAGTAACATAGTGTGTATACTGTTTTATAACCATCAAGTGAACCTGTATGAAGTATGTCCATCAGACAGCAAGTAAATAAGATGCAAGAGCACATAAAGCTGATACCACGCCAGGCAGGGCACTTCTAATATGCAGCCTTTTTACAAAAATGTATACAGTCACTCTGCCCTGTGTCTGGGAGGTAACCCTAAGACTTCTTCGCAACACTTAATTGGCTTGATTTGTAACTATTTTTCAGCATACCTTCCTATCACATAAGTGTCGTTCATTAAGAAATACTGTTCTTCATGGTATTATTTTAATTTATAAGTTCCTCATTTTGTGATCTGTGTAAGAAGGGAGAATTTCACTGGAAACTTTAGATGGACAGAGGAGCTTTGTTTCATCAAATCATATTTAAAATTAACTTTTTAGTTTTGAAATAAATTTGGTTCACAGATTTACTTTTAAACAGCTCAATAAGTTATTAAAGGCAGATGAAAACCAGGAACTGGACAGTTTTTCCAAAGACTATATGCTTTGGGTAGAAAAATTATTCTTTTGCAGTCATCTTGTCAGTCTAGTGTGCCTTCCAAGCTAATTAGGAATACTATGGAAATCACATGGACATTAGTACCTTTGTCCGCATCTGTAGATGTGATGGCTTTTACCTGCCTGGAAACAATTTAATATCGTCACTTTTCTCATAGTGCAAACTTCTCCAGTAGGATTCTGCTTCTGTGCTTAAAAGACTGTTGGGTGGTAAGGTGCTTCCGTCTAAATTTTCCTTGATGATGATTTTTACCTGAAGCAAGTGAAATAAAGTTTAATTGCAATTATCATCTGAAAACAGATTGCTAATATGTCTTTCTGTGAGTTTGCAGAGAATTTTCACTAGTTCTTAGGGAAGGATAAATTAATCTTTAATCCATTTACTTGCATACTGAATGTCTGTGCATACTTGCAGAGGGGACATCACACCTGGTGTCTCGTGGTAAGCCACAGTGATTCCTAAATGATATTAAGAAATTTGGTTTTTCCCAGGAAACCTGGAGAGCAACCCACAGAGGAGTTTCTTCAAAAAAGAAGAGTTCTTTCTGGATAAGTCCAACTATAAAGGGTTGCATCAGCCTCTAGTATACACAGTTTGATGGGAGTGGCACATGGAGTATGACGACAGTGGCTGATTTAGCAGTGTTCCCTAGACAACTACAAGTAACATACAGTTCCTAAACAGGAGTATGAATGTCAGTAACTCCATTTTAAAACCCAGAGTGGGCAAAGAGAACAATCATCAGCACCTAAACCTTTATTAGAGGGGTCTGGTAACACAAGTGGTATTTTCAAACTATATTCAGATCACATTTGGTGCAATTGTCAGAGTGCCTGTTCTTGCTTGTCATACTACATTGGTACCAAAGTTAGAGCAGACAGAGTCTGGAGAAGGCAGACTAGGGTGACACAAGATAGCATCAGGATTAACAGGTATTTTTTTTTTTCACGTAACTATTGATTTATTCTTTCCTACTTGGGACAGTCACTTCGTATGCAGTTACAAGTGCTGTAACGCAGGTAATGTTCTTTCCTCTTTTGGTAGTTATCAGAGGAGAATGAGTATGAAATGGATGATATTTTTTGAAAATTATAAGTGAAACTGGAGAGTCAAAATGATTGGATTGCCTAGAATAGAAAAAAGTGAGGAGGCTGAAAAGAGCTGCTGGTCCTAACAGTCTCAAATAAAGAGCAATTAGTCTGTAGATACCCTCAGCGGCAGGGTTGTTGCTGAGCCTCAGCACTGAAATGCATAAAGGTGCCTGTGAGCAGTGGCGAGCCCTAACCAGCTGGGACATAAAATCAGCAAGGACAGCTGAAGCATGGCAGCATGCAGTGCCCTCTGAGGCAAAGCTAAGAAAAGGTGCCACATATAGGTTTTGTTGACTTCTCCTTGGGATATATGAGTGTCTGTTTTCAGGATGTGTCAGCACAAAGCATTCAGAAAGGAAGCAGACTTGTGGGAAGCTCTTAAAAAACTCATCTCTGCTTTCCAGTGTGCAGCCGCGTTACCCAGGTATGTAAAAATCTAACTGGCAGCGGATGGAGAAGATGGCCAACAAATGGCATAGCTTGAATACTGGCGTATGAACAGCATTTCAGCGTTTGTCCTTTGTATCTTCAGTCTTCAGGAAAGTGAGGCAGGAATGAACTGGATAACACAAAAAAAAATTTCCTGCAGATAAACGGAGTATCTACCAGATGCATTCAAAGACGTCATTTAGCGTCCATGAGCAGATATAAAAGCTCTGTTGCCTGAAGCAACTCAGTGGATATGGAAGAGGCCAGAAGTCTCCAGTTACTTATCTGAGTGTTTTTACCTCCACACCCTTCAATACAGTGGTGTTCCGCAGGCTAGATAAACATGACTAGTGAGAGACTGTGTCCATCTTTGAGCAGATAAAGGTATCAGAGATGAGCACTGTGTGTATAACATATTTTTCTTTTTTATTAATTTTCTGCAGGGGAAAGAACCATGGAGTTGTATAGAAGTATAATCTTCTGTTCCCTTCTTTGTCAGGATCATTTTATTTAATATTCAGGGCACAAATTTTTGACATCAAATATATTGGCATTTTGATCAATGTCTGAAGTCAGGGGGCCCACTTTTACCCGTACAACAAAGAAAATAGAGGATGTCTCAGCAAAACAGAGATTCGTACTGGAATCTGTATGGATTTTTTGTTTGAATATGAGCACATAGAAGCTTTAAATTTACTTTTAATCTTTTTCTACATGTCCTGCAATGTGTATTACTTGATTCTGAATGCATAAGATACCTGGGTACCCTGGCACAACTGCATAAAGGGACTGTTACTTTACGTAAGAATAAGTGGTTTTATTAACCACAAGTACAGGTTTGTAAAAACAAACAAACAAACAAACAAAAAACACTCAAGTATAATACTAACCAACAAGATATTTTAAAATCCATACTACTTCAGAAAATACTTCTGTAAGTCCATAGCCAAAGGTACAGATTAGATTGTTTTGCCACTTTAGGTATACATATGCATTTACTCTACACACAGAGTACTGAAAACTAGCAAACCCACTTTGCGGCAGTCTGTAATTTTGTTCACTTTATGATATTAATAATTTCTCAGAATGAACCCTCCAGCTAGTATTTCACATGTTTTATCTTCAAATGCTAGTTGTAATTTATGACAAATGAAGACAGTTTCACTGCCTTGCTGTGGCATTTATCCATACCATCCCTCTAATCACAGTGTGATTCAGGAGCTTACTGAAAGTTTTTAGTCTGAAAAGGTGTCCTAGAATAACATACATACAAACCTGCTGGCATTACATGACTCTATTCAAAGTCCTCTAATCTCCAGCTAGCTAAAAAGTGCTAAAGCATTATGTTTCCAACAGAAGTTTCAAAAAGAAATTTATAATCTCAAACTGAATCTTGTATTTAAGTAATTTATTCTGCTGAGTTAAATTATTCAATTCAGAGTCCGTGGCTTTCACCATTAGAAGAAAAAAACCTCCACAATAAAATATCAGGTGCACAGCAAATGAGATTAGTTTATCAACCAACACTGTGTTACTCCCCTGCTAATGCAGATCATGTGTGTCTCCCAGGTACCGCTTCAGAGTTATCATATCTGGGAGGAAAAGTAATTGTTACAGCATAATAGAAGGCTCTGCTCAACAAAAAATGACTTGGCTCATGGGGACCTGGTAATGAAAAAGCTTTACTTCGCTTCCATTCACTTATCAATGAGATATGGTTCACCATAATGTTCAAATTCTTTTTAGGGAGAATGGCAATGAAACTTTGTTATTACCAATATAAATGCTAAATTTGCCTTTTCAATTACAGGCTCATTCTTTCCAGGTGGGAGCAATAGAACAAAAATAATGATCAATGGGCTCACAACAATACTATACATAAAATATTCAGTCAAAACCCAAGAGGTATGTATTTTAAAATGGTTCTGAGAAGCATGTCAATTACAATAAATAAATAAATAGAACCATTGTCTAGCTTAACCCTGTATACAATTTCCTAATATATTTGAGTCAACTAGATATCCAGGTCCTGTTTTCAAATGTGGTAAGGCATATAAGTGTTTAAACTGCTTTAGACGTTATTGGCACTCACTATTAGTCCTATTGTTAAAAACTAAGGTTTTTTTTTTTTTTTAATCAGAAACTATAACTGGAGGGTTTTTCTTTTGTTTTGATTGTCTTCCAGTTAATATAATAATTTCACCTCAGTCATGGTAGAATGAATGTCTCACCTAGTACAGCTAATCCACTGGGTAGAAGAATACTACTGACACTTTGCCTGATGAAATGATGTAAAAACAAAAATAAAATGAGAGAAGACTAGTGTCTTTATGCTGGAAAATGTTGAAGTAACTGTTACATTTCCTACTTTGATATCGTCTGGAATTTTATGTTTGATGAACTAGGGAAGGCATTCTAGTCTTTGGCTGCAATTTTGAAGTTACATGTTGTCATGGGTTTACTTTGGGCCAATTTTCTCTCCCCCTCCCCCACAATTGCTGTAAGTTGAGAGAAGGTTTATGCAGACAAAAGAGATCTGATGTGGAGAGAATAATACTGGGATTTATTTCTAGCAAAATAAAAACTAAAGAACTATATATACAACAATTCTAACTAGGCAAAAGTGCTAAGTATTTACAGAAGTACCCCTCCCCCCTTGTATGAGGGTTTAGGAGGAGAAGCAGTCTCTTTTCCATTTCCAGAGCTACAGGTCTTCTAAATAATTTTGCAGCACTTGAAAGTTCCTTTTCTATTATCTCTAAGATGACAACTCTGATTCGTTGCAGCTGGAACTGTCTTTCTTTCTTTCTTTCTCTCTCTCTCTCTCTCTCTTCTATGTCGGCCTCAGGGCTGGGCTTATCCCCTCCTGGGCTAAGACTGGAGGCTGGGGGTTACCCAGGCCCTGTGGGGTCCTCCATGGACTGCAGGGGGACACTTGTCCTACCATGGTCTTCAGTACAAATACAAGGGGTAATGGCTTTTGAGTCCACCCCTGTTTCTTGTGCGGTTCCTCCTCGCGAGAGACAGTCCTTGACGGACTTCTCTAGCATGAGTTACCTTTGGGCAACAGTTCTTCCATTCTCTGTGGTCCCTTAGGGTCACAAATTCAGCAGCACCAGAATGGATCCCTCACTGGAATCACAAGTCCTATCTGGGACAACTTGCTCCAGTGTAGGTCTCTCTCTCTGACCTGTGGGTCACAGGTCTCCAGCAGGACTGTTTCATTTATACCTCCCACAGGGTCACAGCCTTCTTGTGCACTCACGTACATTCACCTGCTTCACATGCAGTCTTTCTCCCCTGGAAATATTTGAAATTGTGAAAGCTGTGTATAACAAAATGCATAGTTGCTGTTTCAAGCAGGAGCTGCTTGCACTTCTAGACAGAGAGAGTTAAATGTGTGTCTTCATGGCAGGACATTATGCAGTATTGGTTCAACGAGGGATCTTAGGTGAAGACTCTTCTGAGTATTTAGTCAGAGGAGTCCTACTCTAGTTCCTCCAAGTCCTAAGGGCAGTTGTTGAAGTGGTTGTCCTCTCTCATTCCCACAGTGCTTTACTTGTGCATCCAAACTAGATCTGTCAAGCTCTTACTGCTTTTCAGGTTTGGCTTGTGTCTTCTCAACAGTACAGGCAAAACTGAATGTTGCTGTATCAAAGATGAAGGGCTGTAAGCACACAACTCCTGCCTCATGAAGGTAAATTATGGGGAAAAGAAATAGATTAAGGAGGGAGACTTAGGGGAAAGCCCTAATTTTTGGGCTTGCTCCTATCAAAAAAGTGGGAGAGTAGGAAGGTAAAACTGTAGTTCTTGGAAGGCACAGTATGCTTTATTCTATAACTGTCAGTCGTGTGTGATTATGGAAGAATGATCTCATCCTAAAGTTTTGGGTAACTTATATATCATCAGCTGAGATCTAGAACACAGGGGGCTGAGGTTGTGCTATGGGTTAAGAACCTTAACATGAAACATGTTTTTTCATAACATCAAGGATAGTGTAAAAACCCCACAATGCTTCCCAACAGAGTGCTACCATTGTCCTACTGGAAACTTTGACAAAGAAGGGCTCTGATTATATTTTCACTGATACAGTGTTAAGGTTTTTTTCTTAAATCCCCATTTCAATGGGTGCTTGTAATCATAAAAGGATCTCAGTTTTCATTTTTAAAGAGAATAAGACAGATTTTATGGGCAAAAAATTAGCATAGCTTCATGTAACATTAGTACTTGGGAAAGAGCTAGAAAATATGAAGTATCGGTATCTGTATTTGTCAGTTTATCATATATAACACTATAGGGCCCAGAGACCAAGAAACAGTGCTGCCAATACATGAGCAAAAGATATTTGGAGAGTATAAGCTATAGTCTAAATATATCAGAATGAGAGAGAATACCTAAGGCTTGACAGATCTGTAGCACTATGAGGGCAAACAGATTATACTCACCCTCTACTCTAAGCACAAGAAAATGTTCCTAACTTCTTGAGATCTAGTGATGTATCAGAGGGGAAAAATTCATCATCTGACCTTCTTCTCCACCTGTGGTGTGCCCACGTAGTTACATTTCTCCCAAGTACTAGAAATTCAGAGAACCCTATCTCTCATAACATCCAAACAAAGATATAGAGAAATAAGCAGTAGCTCCCGCCCGCCTCATCACCAGCAGATTGCCTCAGAAGCCAGTCTGTGCAGGGAGAAGCAAGAACCTATAATGGTCACTGAGCAGTTGTGTGAATCAGCAGATGAATGGATACATATAAGGTTTTCATTGCACAAACTTCTTGCAAAGTGCATATCCTGTGGAACATTATTTTGGGGTCATGTCCTTTTCAAACTATGGCTTTAGTATTGAATACAAGAGCACTTGGATCTATTTATGATATTACAGCCGCAAGTACAGAAACAGCGAAGAAGCAAACCTGCTCCTCCCTCCCTGCTTCTGGTGCAAGCAGACTGATTTCTTTTTAGCAGATCAGCTGTGCTTAGAAGTTAAACTTTTTTGCTGAGAACATTTGATACAACCTCCTTTGAGGAAGTTTTTGTGCTTGTTTTTACTGCTTGAGACAGTATGCCTGTAAGCGGCACTGCTCTGAAGTATCACAATAGTATGGTCAAGGGCTGTGTTGATGACTTCAATTCTGTGAGTTCCAGCCACTTCACTTCCTTTGACAACATCCTAAGCACAAAATTTAAAAGGAGAAACATATTACCCATGTGGTGTGAAGCAAATTACTTGGTCTCAAAGTTTTGTACATTGAAAAACATTCCTTCGAACTTCTAGCTAAAATTTAAATCAGATCCCAAGTAAATGAAACAGATTTTTAAAAAGAATTATTTCCCTAAAGAAGGCATGTGACCTGTATTACTGAAAGAGTTATTATAAATAATTATTCCACTGGAGAATTTCTGGTTTTCACTTGACCATTTCATACCCTTTCTTCAATATGACAGTAGTTCAAAAGTAGGTATGATGAAGTCAAAACTTTAGATGAAGTCTTCTGCTTATAAAGCAGAAAATACTGAGATGAAACACTATTGTCTCACTTTAAAAATTAATGTCTGCAATATTACAAAAGTACATTTTATAAAAGTGAATATCTGACAGGTGTTGCCTTCCCTGAGGAGTCATCAGAGTGATATGAAAATAATGAACTAAATAGCAGTGATTAAAGAGACATTTTGATAAGACTCTAACCATTCCAGAGAAATAATTTCTTATATAGAAAAATCAAAGTTATATAAAGCTGAATATAGGAAAGATTGTATTAATGTAACACTAAGGTACAACAGCTAAAGAGGTAATTTTATGTAAGAAAGTAAGAACAGTAAAACTGAATATTCTGAAAAGGCAGAAGCTTAACAAAAATAAAGAATCTGAGCATTTGTTTAGAAGAAAACTAGAATTTTCACAACAGTGAAGTTAGATTTCCCTGTGATATCCTTTTCTATCCTGACTTTTAGAAATATTTTGGGACAAGAACTTAAAATTTGTATATGAAAAAAATGTTTTGAAAAACTGGAATTTTCTAGCAGATGTCCTCCTAAAAATACTCCTGACTCCTGCCGTAAGACATAATCATATAAAGTGTATTTAAAAAACAATTGACAAAATGCTGAGATGAGGTACGTTAGATATCACAATTTACCATACTTATTCAGTTGTATTAGTTATTTACCATTTTTCAAGTTTATCTGTTAGTACACAACCAATGAGTGGGATTTAATCAAAATACACAGTAATTTTCTCTCAACCTCCCCAAGAAATCTCACTGTAATGAGCAAGTAACCTTTAGGTATCAATTAGTTTAGAATGATATATTCCAAATATCTGTCTAGTAGAATTATGAGCTCATGGTACCAAAATTCTTTTGCAACCTTCTAACACTGTGATGCCTATTTCCCTTAAACTCTTTATCATGCTATAGTAAAATAAAATTTTATTATTCATTAATACTGTTAGAAAAAGATCTCAAAATCACAGAATCAAATATCATTCAGTCTTTCCTTAAACACCTCTAGGGATGATCTATCAGTCTTAGGTAGTTATTGCTATACACAATAAAAATGAGTGTACTTTTTTCTACAGTTGCTACACTAGCTATAGTACAGTATACTTAGTACACTTGTTACTATAGTTGTACTATAACTTCTGTATTATTTCTCTTCTCTGGAAAACTAAGAATTAAGAGAAGATTTACTTTCATGTAACACTGCCAAGCATAATAACAGCATTAAGTTGCCTCTGTCCTGAAAGAAAGGCAAAATAGAATAATTTTGTGTCTTTTCACACATAGCCTGACGATCTGTAAAGATGTTTTCTCTTGCTTTAAGATTTTTAATGAAACGATTTTGCTTTTCTAATGCTTACAGCATACTTCCATCAGAATCTATATGAGAGTCATATTTGTCAAAATGTAGATTTCTAGGATCCTTGTAAAAAGTATCCAAAAAGATAGTAAAGGACTCTGATCCAAAATATTTATTCAGTCTTAAAGTTCTCAGGAAACTCTGGCAGAATACACAAGGCTTGAGTCTCCCAGCTATGCAAGTTGGACTTAGTTGCATTGGAAGTGGGATGAAGCATTTTTCTGCAGAGAAAGTTCCCCTGGTAGCCATTCTTTCTTCAACTCACATGACTGTTGCAGGGGGACGGTGAAAGGCTAATGATAAGCCTAGACTGCAACATATTAGCAAGATCTCTTGTCTGTTGCAGATATCAGTTTAACTTATGATTTATTCCATTGCTTTAATTTTTCAGAAGACTGAGATGGGTAAGAGTCCTCTCAGACAAGCTTCTTTGAACTCTAAAGGCTGAAAAAAGTTATTTTCCTGTACAGTTCAGCATTCAGATACAGAAATGGGAGAGCTCACCCACCCTAAACATCCTAAGGCATCTGATCTCAGTGATATTACTGGAGCTGTTTTGAGGGTCCCTTGTGACTTTTCCTGTGCAATTGCAGGTATGATGTGACATTCTCAGAGAAATGCTCCTTTACGAGTTCCCTCTCTTGAGATGTGACCATTAAAAAAGTGACATTACATCAGGACAGACTGATCTCTAAGTCCTTAGTCCCTATGGGCCTTGGTTTCCTCTCATTTTGGCCTATACAATTTCACATGCTGAGCGGTATGTGCATGTGTTACAGATCACTTTCACTATGTAAGAGAGAGGAGAACTAAACTTAATGGGAGCCTTTGGTGAAATAGATGTTCCACAGCTTGTAGTGCAGATTCAAAGGCATGCTGCATGACAAATTTATCAAAATCAGTCATGTCCTTTGCATACTCTATCAAATCCTAGCTATTAAATCTATCATCAAGCAGTTGCTCCACTTGCCAAAGGACATCTCGAACTGAAGTCCAGAGAATGCAGCATATAATTGAATCACTACTGACCAGCTGTCACAACAACCCTCTGCTCCCCAAACACTAATAAAAGGAAGCAAATGAGACGTCCTGATTCAAACTTTTATTCTGATGACATCCTATTGTTGTGTTCTAGCACTGAGCCAAGAAGAACCGAAGAGAAATCATCCTACTCATTACGTTTTCCAAAAGCTTATTATAAGCACTTGCTGATATCGCTGCAGGAGCTGACTGAAACTTCAAAGATGAAGCAAATATGCTGTTTGAGATAACGGTAATGTATGCAAAACAGAAAAAAGCCCACCTACAAACCCACTAAAAACTGTCCTAGAAGCCTGAAAAAAGCTCACAATTTTAGCACACCTGAAGAATCAGACAGATGTTATTGATGAGATATGTATAATCATCTTATTTTTTAGCTCAAATGAAATTAAATACCAGTCACACCTTAGAACTGTTAGAGAATTTAAATAGAATACAGACCTACTGTCAGACCTACACAGTTATGACCCTCTCTGTGTATGAGGAAAGAAACATCCTTCCTGGAGTCCTTTGTCACATCTATTTTGTTACCACATAATCTCACAATCTCTGTAAGGTAACTGGTATAGCTGTTATCATCATTATAGAAATAATTTAATACTTTCTCTCAAATGCAGTTATGCAACTAAGTAGAAAATATGACAGTATCATTTTAAAACAGGGGACATGAGGTGCAGGCGTATTCAGAAAAGCCAGGCTTTCTTGTCTACCTCTGGGAAAGTCTTGCCTTGTTATGAGATGCTGTGTGGCCTAAGTAGCCCAAGCCTTTGCAAGCTCTAAAACAGGCTTGTGTGAAGAACTTGTGACTTATGGGGGAGAATTTATGTTCTTTTCAGACTCTGAGATAATTAAAACAAAAGAGGGAAAAAGGGAAGGAATGGAGAATTAAAAATAAAGGGGATTTTGGTCAATTCATATGGTGCCTTCATCAGTTGCTGCCTTATTTGTAAAAGGATTGGTTGAAAATGATAACTTAAACACTAATAAAGCTGAATAAAGAAGAAAAAAATGACAAATTCTGTGGTCATTGTTTCTGTTTTGTAGAAGGTTATAAGAAGGAAGTTATATCAAGCTTTGTTCTTAATAAAACAAAGAACTCTTTCATAGCTTTCAAGAAAAGTGGATTGACAAATATATGCCAGAAACACACATAGTTTTTATTTATGTTTTTTCTGAGACAGCATTTTCTGAAACAAAACTGTTGTTGAGTCTTCAGACAATGAAGGTAGATTGTTTTTAATGATTTATGTCAGTTGAATTAGAGATGATTTATCACTGTTTTCTCTAAAGCAACTAACTGTAGAGTAAGGAAAGAATTCTCTTTCTTTGTTTCCTGTCACAGAAAGATGGATTTGTGGTGCTCAGACAACCACAGTGTTTTTGTAACTCCAGTCATTTCGATTTTTTTTTGTGTGGAGTTTTGTAGTGGAATCAAATCTTTGTTTCAGAACAGTGTATATGTGATGCAAATTCCTCACATATGTGCATCTATGACATGAAAATGCAGACCAGAGCTATAAATAAGCCTGTTTTATTTTATCTGAATTTTGGCAGCCCTGAGAACCCTATTTAAAATTTGTTGTTAAATAGCATTCAGTTAATGTGAAAATTCTTCCTCCCCTCCACCCCCCCAAAAAAAGGAAATTACACCTGAGTTGGTTTTAGAGCATAGAATACAGACACAAATGGCTTTGTTCCCCCAGTCTGCAGATTACGCTATTCCACTAAAGCCTCACTGTTTTTTTGTTTTGTTTTGTTTTGTTTTGATTTTTTTAACAGGAATGTTGCTTAGTGTTTGGGAAAATAATTGCAAAAATCTTTATTTGTAAGGCGAGAATTCAATTTCTGCATAGGAATTTAAATAGCAAGTAAGGATAGTTATCTCTCTGATATTTGATAAATGGAAAAAAGATTTAGTTATCTTGAGGTGAGATTACTTTTTGGAGAGGATGACATTTATTACCTCAAGGACATATTTCAGAAAATCCCTCTTCTTTATCCAGAGGCGATAGTTCTGTTCATCACAGAAGAAGGCAATTGGGAAAAGAAAAGATTAATTATATGTGTGCTTGAGAAGGGGCTGCAATTGGTTTGTTTCTGCAGAGAACATCGGTGGAATAATGAGTATGTTCTGCAGACAAGGAAAAATCTATCCAGTAAGACTTGTCCCAGATTCTTTTCAATTGTGTGGTAAACCTCCTTTGTTCTTAATCCTCATCTGTTAATTCCTTAATAGACAAACATCCTGTCTATTGACTATTCAGCTCGAGAGTCCCCTCCTCAGCTTCCCAAAAGCCCAATCATTTCAGAGAGCAGCAGAATCAATGACTTCCTTTGGATTTGTCTCCTGTCCACTGTTTCCTTTCTTATAACCCCAGCCACCTGTTGTGTCCTCCTTCAACTCTTCTCGGCAAACCTACACCTCCTCTTGCTGTACTTTCTGCCACTGCTGTTATTATTTCTCCTCCTTCCTGCCAAGTTGCTTTCCCTGTACAGCTTTACTGTCGGCTGCAGGTCCTGTGCCTGAATCTGTGCTATAGGGGGTCTTGCTGGGTGATGCTCACCGCCTGCCCTGCCTGCAATGAGCTGGAGACTCACAGAGCTCATGCCCTCCCTTCCCATTCCTGTTCCCTTCCCTTTTCCTTAAGACATTAATTCAGTTCTCCACCTTCTCTCTGTTTTGCATTCCTGGAGACTTCTGCCTCAGTCAGATATATTGAAATTGGCCAAGGGAGTAAAAAATCCTTGGAGAAAGTTGACATATGGATAAACAGTGTTATCAGAGCTTCCTCCTTCATTAGAGAAATAGCCAAAAATACAGGAAAACCCCCTCTTTCTTAGAAAAATTAATTTCTCCATTTGTATGTAGCATGAAATCAAACTGATATGTTTTCAAGATGTGAGTGGATAGAGTGGAGTAGACTATCCTTTTAAAGGGGTGTTATGTACCACTGCACAGGGTTGTTGTGACCCAAGTCCAGGACCTGTCACTTGGACTTGTTGAACCTCATACACTCAGCCTTGGCCTGTCGATCCACTCTGTCCAAATCGCTCTGCAGAGCCTTCCTGTCCTCCAGCAGAACAACAGTGCCACCCACCTTAGTGTCATCTGCAAAATTAGTGAGGGTACACTCAATCCTCTATCATCAAAAAGGATATTAAACAGGACTGGGAAAAATACTGAGCCCTGGGGATACCCACTAGTGAGTGTCTGCCAACTGAATATGGCACCATTCAGCACTAAAGTTGTGCTCACAATTTCTTGGGAGATACAGATATTTATATATTTAATATTCTTTCATGTTAGAATAACTTATTGTTAATATATTAAGTAAGAAAAATCGAATATATGCCAGGTAGAGCAAAGGAAGCTTTCAGAATCTCTTTTTAGTTTTTTTCTATCTTTTTCTTCTGAGAATGAAGAATAATCCAGGACAAACAAAGGCTACCACATTACAGGTACAGTTTTACCCTTGAATTTATGGAGTTATCTCTCCAGAAGTGGTGAGGGCTGCCAGTAGCTCAAGTCTGCCAACTACTCTAGTCAGGGAAATTTAGCATCTGGGTTTGGGTTTAGCAACCATTTCAAACTGACCTTTTTCACTTTAAATTAAGAGGGGAATAAAGGGAGAAAGAAGAAAGGAAAAATGCTGGCAGTTTAACCTTGTGACTTCTGTGCACAATGTACTATTTCAGGTGGCTAGCCCTGATGTATCTCTGGAAAATGCATTTCTTTGCTCCCTTGTGGCAGACCTCCAAAGCCTTGGTACAGTCTTTTTGGTTATATAATCACCTAGATAACTTTAGATACATTAATAGCAAAAACAGCCTTGAAGGGAAAATACCACTGTGTGTATCAGTGACAGCTGCAACCTCTCCTTCAAAAAATCCCCCATTTTTTTTCTGAAATGGCTTTACTAAGACAGATAGGAAAAGACAGCTTTGGTTTCCATGTCCTTCTACAGGTCTTTAGTGCCTAGTGCTTCTAAAGGACTTTCTGGAAGAATCGAGAATGACTAAAGTCCTTAAAAAAGTTAAAGCTAGAATTATACCTGTTGTGGGAATTTTTGTGTGGCTTTTCTAATCCATTGGATTTATTCGGATGCGTCACAACAAAGTAACAAGGATTGTATGGAAATTTTTCATGCTCTTTGATCCTCAACAGGAGTTTTGACCTGTTAAAGTCCAAGTTATCTGTGCCTTGCAGAAGAAGCCTATATAAAGTTTAGGACTCCTGTATGGTCTTTCAAACAACACTTAAGTACATTTATATCTTTAACAAGTCCCTTGACAAATCTGTTTTCACTGTCATGTGAAGGGAAGACTGGGGAATGAAGTATGGATGTGCTGTTATGTATGAGATCCAGACAGATTATTCTGGAAGACTTAACGGAGTTCAGCACTCAAACTGCAGATGCATCTGGAGAGAGACCAAGCACTGCTTGTAGCCTTTAAGAGGATACTTGCAACTGTTTATCACAGAATCACAGAATATC